AGTTCATTAAGAAGAAATATGTTTATTTAGAACGAGATTTTTCTTGATAAAAATTACCCCAACGAAATTTCCATCAGGTAAAAAGTAAATCTAATAAGACTATCATAGGAAAATTAATGGTTTATCAATGACTAGTTTTTCCGGTCAGCAAGTCACTATATATTATCCCTAAAAGGACAAAAGATGCAACTCAAGATGATTCTAAGCAGACATGACACAAACCAAGATTAAGTGTAATACGTAATTTTTTTTAAAATTCAATCTGCGTCATGATCTTATATGTTTAAACGTCTCCGATGACATTGAATTAAAAATTAAATTAAAATTCTGAATTAAAAATTACAAGAGATTGTGATTATAAAAAAACAATAAGTCATTTTTATAAGTAATCCTATACTTATCGATTGTCTAATGATTGAATAAATCAGCAATACTAAGCATCAGTTGAATCAGAAAAAAATTCCATTATGAACTATTGCGAACAACAATATTTTTTTTCTATAACTCAATTCATTTAAATTATAGATCATTAAATATTTACACATTTGCTCATAAACTTCAAGAACTCATGCTAATAAGACTGTAAAACTATGAGAATTGCTGATATGAAGATTACACCTCTCAATTTGCCAATTCATCAAAATAGTTGAGATCATTACCAGCATGATTTTTTGCTATTTGTCATTTTTCCTATTAAGAATAAATGAATAATTTCAATCTTTAACAACGGAATATCATTTTTAATGATATTGTATTTTTATCTGAATATAATAACCTGGAACTTCTTTCGATGCTATCAGACATGATTATGCGAATATATACAATTTATCCAGTATAATATATATGGCAAGATTGAGAGGTCAAAAGCCTTGAAAGTAAAACGAAAGCATACAGTAATGAATCGACTGGAGTCGATCGATTATCAAAACATCAGAAAATAAATCTCAGTTCATGAGAAACTCTCATCATGAATTTCTTGTTATCTATAAAGATATAAGAGACGCGAGGAAAATAAGATAATAGACCGACAGACATATCCGCTTTCTGCTGACAGTTTGACATGGTTCAGTTTACGTACTATTTTATATTCTACACCCACAAGAGTGTTCGTGCTATCTTTCCATTTCTGTAGAAAAAAATTTAAACCATTGGATGGATCTTGACGTGCGAAAATCTCTCAGGTTAAACTGCCTTCAAAGGTTGTACTTATAACAGTTGATTCCTAAATTGTCTAGTCGAGGAAAAGCAAAGGAGATAGATAGAGAAAAGTGTGGATCGTGATGATAATTAACCACTGTGTAGTGTTCTCCCAAGAATCTTAAGGTACCGTTCATCGTTTTATTTGTGCCGCAGTTTATTGCCATGAGTATAAATTCTTCCGTTTTATTTAGTATAAAAGATACAGATGATTGTAATTACTATCAACAAATTGCAAACATTTGTACAATTTTCCTACTAACCAACAATTGATTAATATGTAGAAAAACATGAATGGATTAGTTTTCTAGAATTCAGATGCTGGATAACGATCATGATAGAAACTGTCAAGAGAATTGCAACTATTCCACCTGAAGTCTGAAATCCAGTGCTTCGTGAGAAGAAAAAAATGGTAAAAAACTTGACTGTCTTGACTATCCTTCTCTTTTCTGGCCTCTTCCACTTTTTCCCCATGACCACAGATCTTGACTCTATACGATGATACCCCATCCTCTACCGTTTGTCTTCCTCTCTTGTTATCTTTCTTCTGTTTCTGTCGACATTCACCTGGAGCAGATACTCGGGGACACGAGAAATGTAGGAAAAGAATTAATTTCCTTTTTGTTCTTTATCCTCATAAGTAAACAGAAAAATTTTACTTTGTAGAAAGATTCTAGTATGATGAACAAATATAAGAGAAATTAAATGTGTTAAATTATGAAAATTCGTGGAATAGTAATGTAACTGTTTCCTTTTTAGATATTCTGAGAGACTTTTATGGATGAGATATTTTCAAATTTAAGATATTAATATAATTTAGAGGATGGGTTGATCACAGTTTTATATGGTTGAGATAAATCAGAATTTTTCAAGAAGCTTCTCTAAAACTGGTTTTAAAAATTGATGACATCCATTTCCATAATATGATAAATTTTCTCATTCATCTAGTAATTGTATTATTTCTATGGTCTTTTTTAATGGAGAACTGATATGGTTTTTAAAAATTATTTAATAATACCAAATTGGAATATTTAATGAAAATGAATGTTGGAAAAGAATATAAGCTCTAATATTAATACCATCAATTTGAAAAGTAATCTTCTTTAACCAGTAGTAGAAGGGATTCATTTATCAATTCGATGGACTTTTTTGTATAAAATTTTCATCGAAATGATTAAGTTGTTAAAAGAAATATTAATAAAAGCGTAAAAGAAAACTTAAAATCCATTAAAGTGAATGATAGTTTATTTGAACATCAATTTTTTATATTTTGAAATAAATCAGAATTTTTGGATGTAAAATAATTTCTTTAATGATATTATTAAGACCAAAAACCTTCAAAAAAATAAAATTTTTTCAATTAAGAATATTTAAATAAATTATAATATAAATTTACTAATTATTTTTTATGTAATAGAAAGATGAAATTCAGCTTTTAAAGTCATTGATGTAAAAATGGAAATTCTCAGTCTATTGATTGTGAAATTTTCTTTGGTAAATAAAGATTTATCAACAGCTAATCATTCTTAGTTGAGCGATCATGCAACTCATTGTAAAGAGAAAATTGAACTTTTACTTGTCGATGAATTCATCGATTCTTGATCAACAAATGTTATTTAATCTAAATAAATATATCCTCAAGTACCCGCACCAAGATGTTCCTAGTCAAGCTAGGATTTTTCAAGAATTTGCTTCTCCAACACGTTGCCAACATCTGTAACATTGTTTGTAAGTTTGGAATTCTCGAGACTATTTCCTACATTCACAAATTACTAATTCGAGACTACAGGAATATATGTCATTAAAAACTTTTATAGAAAAATATCTTAACTGTAAGTCCACTTGACACTTGAGTTATAAGAAGAGACAAAAGATATAACAACGAGGAGACTTTTAATAGGTGAACGAACAGGATTGGTTGACTAGTTGGCTTCAATCAAGACTCGAGGTCTTCAGTCAACTCTTCTTGTGTTGTGGTATTGTCATCTCTTGAGATGTAAGGCGGACTATAGTTATGAGTGATATATTCGAAATAAAGGAAAGAAAGAAAAGAAGAAATTGAGGGAAAAAATTTGTCATTATAATCCAACAGGCGTAGAACCATTATCATAATGTATTAGAAACATCACCCTAGAATGAATGTTGTCTTTTTCCGTAATTTACTTATGTAAAAATACAAAAAGAATTTCCAGACAAATGTTTACGTAATTTCTTAAATAAGCAAGCTCCTGTATTTATAATTAGCTATCGATCGATACTAGTATGTATAAATGAATTTCAATGATCCCAACAACTATTGCTAATATATTTACTATTTTAAACAACAATAAAAAATTTCAAACGTGATTTTACTTTTGAAAAAAACACACAGTCAAGGCCATAAGAAATGAAGACTTTGGCTATTACACGTATGACACATAAAGTAACACATTGGAATAAGTAATCGATTGTCCATGCGTAAATCTTTACTGAAAAGCCTAAATGCTTTGGGTTGAAAAGGGACAAGTTGTAAATCCTACACAAACCAAAAGGGACTCAGACATGAATTACGTACATAAATCCATTGTCTGATGGAACTACTTATATTTGTGTGAGTTGTATACATACTGTAGTAGTAACTATACAACACAAAATGACACGACCATTGCAATACTTGTGTAAATACGTGACTGGAAACATAAGATGCATTTTTCACCAAAATTTTCTTGCCATCAAAATAAATTATCAGCTGTCTGATAGCTGTATAGTTAGCATCTAGTATTTGTTTCGTTTTTTTTACTTTCTTTATCAACACCTACGTGAGTTGCATCTTTGTTATTGCTCTTATACATTTCACAGAACTTCCAATAGAAGGTGGAACTAACTATTCTTAGCATCAAGTTGAAAGATAGAATAGAAAGACATTTTCTGCTATCGATACCACGAAATTTTATAAATATATCATGAAAATTGCTCTTTCAGTTTGACTAGAATTTTGATCTTCCTTACACTTGACCAGTGATTCATTGTCACATGTCGAATAGTTGCATTCATTGTGAATACAAACAGAATGAAATTCATGAGAAAAAAATTATAGTGGATTGATTGAATAGCCTTCAAGCAGACGAGTAATTTTATGTGGTTTTTTTATGATATGCAGTTTTTGTTGCATTCCTTGTACTCATTCGATGGTCACAGGATAAATTATATTTGTGACATACTACAAAGTACAGATCAACTTCCTGAGTATCATAATCATTATTATAACAGTTAATTACACTAATTACCAGATGTAGTCAATTCCATAATTTTTAATAGTTTAATTACAATTATTCAACTTCATTTAATCAATTATTAATAATTATTGGATTTGTGCTTTTGCTGAATTTTGATACCCTAAATATTAATTTACACTGTTTAAAAAAATCACGATTTAAGTTTTTGTCATTTACAACAATAAACAAAACTTTCCGAAACGATTGCGCGTTCATACTCACAGCTGCGCTACCGTGCGCTGCGCTATGCTGCGTGTCTCAACGTAAACTGGCAAGAATATAAAAGAGTCTGATACTCATCCCCACTCATGGGTTCTCAACTTACAGATGATCGTTCATTGGTCATAGTACACTGACCTTACAGGAGTGGTATTGGTGCATTGCTAATTGACATTTTATACAACTCCCAATGACATATTCTTAAATGCTTAAAGCGGGTAAATTAAATAAAAGATTTATGTCGAATATCATTTAGATGAGTTGACAAGGTCTAGTACATGAAAAGAGCAATTACGATTTTGAGATAAAATCATGATTATTAATACTTACATTGGTAGACAGCTGATTCGTCAATGAATGTACTTTTTCTTGAGCATCAAGTAGTTCTCGACGTAGCTTTCTCAATTCGTGTGCTTGTTTTTCTTCAGCTGAACTGTACAAACTGCTGGCTGTTGAAACTAAGGAAACCGATGAACCATGAACTGCAAGAAGAAAGCGAGGCTGAATGTAAATTCACTAAGTTCATGAACTAAATAGCTAGAATCCTCGAGTTAATTATGAAACCTTTTACGATTTAAAATCTAATTAAATTAAGCGAGGATGAAAAAAGTCAAACTTACTATCATCATCTTTATGAACGTGTTGGTAAAGGTTAGGTGGTTGCCTTGTGGTATGAGTAGGTGTTGGAGATGTAGGTTGAGACCAATGTTGCCCTGCACATCCTGCAGAACTAACTGGAACACTGTAGTACGGTTCACCACCAACATTTATACCCATTCCAACTTCTTCACCAACAGATGATGATGCACCACTACCTCGTGATAACATTGATGGATACATTTTCTCACTTTTTGTTGATCTATTAATTAAAATAAAATTATTATTATTTCTTATTTAGACTATGTTTAGACTGACATATTAAAGCACGGTGACAATAATGATATAATGGAATCATTTACTAGCCAGATCAAGTGTAGCATACCGCATTATTAGTGTTTGACATAAATGTGATATTTTACAAATAAGCCATTTTAAAGCCTCAAAAATATTTTTGCAATGCAACGTCATTATTTATATTATTTTCAAATATATTTGACGTTTTTCTTTACATTAGCTTAATACTATGTGAAAGCCCAATACTACAAATTACAATTCTCTCACTTAATCAATAATATTTGAGTGTATTGTGTTTGTACACAATCTGATGCTTGACGCTTCACTTTATACCTTGGGAAAGTCCTGTCCCGCAGATGGCTAAAACGGCATTAAATTTGCTGTTATTTTACCGCGTATTTTTATAAGTCCATTGTGTACACAGAGATTTAATATAGATAGAAAATTCAATTTAAATATAAAAAAAAAAAGAAATGTAATTTTTTTTAATAAATCCTAATTTGAGTATTATGTATTGATTAAAGCTTCGTTTTAAATGACTTTAATGAGAAATGTATTAATCATTTAGTGAATACACTTCTCACCTAATGGAATTACTCCTATTTAGACGGGGTGGTGCTGGTGATCCACTTGAATCTCTTTGATGCATAAGCAGACGAGCATGACTTAAACTCGTACGATGAGATCCCAGTGATTCTACGCTGTCTGCTTCGCAAAGACCCATTCCTAAAAGCAAGTATTAATTAATTTATGATAAAATTCGCTATTGTTCAGAATCCTTGATTAAAACATGACACGTACCTTGAGATCTTCCACTTGGTGTATATGTATTACTATGTCGCATCCAAGAAGTGGCATATGGACTATTAGGTGCATAATAACCTTGAAGATCTGGCGCAGCATAATTACTACATGTATCACTTAAACTACCGTCAGAAGGCTTAAGAACTCGTGGCGTAAAACCTAATGCAGTTGGCCCACCAGCTCCACTACTTCTATCTCGATGATGAGCTGATGCAAAAAGCGCAGTAAATTCTGGACTACCAGGCTTTGGTAAGCTTTGTGATCCTAACATTAATCGATCCCTCACTGATTGAGACAACTGACTTGCACTTGGACCAGTTAAGCTATAGCTTTTGTAATGGTGACCTTGTGGTGGAATTGAGGAATTGGCTTGGAGTTCTGTAGTACATGTTTGAGTACCTCCGGATACTTTGACCTAAAAGCAGAATTATTTATTATTTTCTCAGAAAATATAGATGAGAAGTTTTTTTTAGCTTTGGAGTAAATTTACCAATTGTTGGCATTGCACTACTTATTGGCACTTCCAATATAAAAATAATAAGTAAAAGTGGAATAGGATGAATGCCAATAATAAGAACAATTCCAATAATTGGTGAATTTATTCTAATTTTAGACAAATTCAATTACTGTACGTTCAAGATAAAATAAATTAAATTTGATATTTTTATCGGATGAAGTTATAAGTGTTTTTTAAGATAAATTATTTAATTTATTGTAAAATTACTTGAATGTATACTTGATATAAATATTTAACTAACACGAATATAGTTGAATGAATATAATATAAACTTATCTATCTAAATCTACATCTAGATAGTTGATTCAAAGCCAGTTAGCTACTATATTTATGTTGATATAAAATGTGTGCAGATCTAGATAGATCTAAACACTCCCATGAACATTTGAATTTTTTTTTTAAGATTTAATGTAATCTAAATAGATCTAGTAAGATTCATGTTAGTATAATCCATTCTTCTTGAGCGTACTTTTCTTCTTAGTACTAGTTTGCATGAAGTGAAAAGCATATTTATTGAAATATACCTTCGTTCGTGGAACAGCACTAACTTGTGCAGTTCTAGTAGCGTCTTTTCCTCCATTTTGCACTCCATTAGGACTTGAACTCGTACCAGCGCTATGTCGTTTGACGTATCCAAAACTTTGAGGAACACCTCTAACTTTGCTGCTGCCACTGCTAGTAGAGGTACCAGATGACACCTTTTGCGGTTTTTCTCCGTTAGTATACTCTGCCATGGTCTGTTTCTTATGTTTATCCTATACAAAGATAAAATATATATACAATTAATATTCCATCCAATGAAATTGAGTTATGATAAATAAAAGTTGCAAGTATTGATTACTTGTGATCGTCGGGAGGGACTAGGACTCGACGGCGCGCCCTCCTTGTCTCTTTCCCTGTCCCTCGCGGCACCAGCTTCGATATACTTCTTCCATTGTTGACTGTTGGAATTACTATTAGGTGAACAACTGGTATTTTGCTGTTGCTGCTGATGTTTAAATGCCGAGTTCTCTGTTTGTTGGGAGCTATCGGATTTTTTTACATGGGAATGATGACTCTGGTGCCTAGAACTCACTACCCGATATACCAGGTTATTAGCCTGCTGTGTCCCTTGGGGGGTGGCTGATCCTGTGTTGACGCCACCCCCCACGACGACGCTGCCTCCACCTGGCACCCTCTGGAATGAAAAATAAACCTTTTCTTCAATAATTCCAGCATTGGTTTGAAAATTTTTCTGCCTCTTTGTTGTAAAATTGTCATATCAGATACAGATGTAGACAATCTGACAGTAAAAAGAGTGATATCTGGTGTACACAAAATATGATTGCAAAATTCATTCGTAATAGAGAAACCTGGGTCAAGGACTTGATACTTTATATGCTTACGTCTTGATATTTTCAAGCATAAGGGCACATCAAATTGCTTCAGCATGATTCAAAGGGAGGGTGTTCCGAACCTATTGACGAGGGTGTGCCCATATATTGTTCTCTCTTACATCACATAAGCCCTCTTTTTCTTTCTTACGCATTTTTCTCTCAACTATAGATCCAAAGAATGACTCATAAGGGCTCGAATAGAAACTAACACACGCTATTTTTCTTAGCCTTTTATCCTCATCTAGAATATCTTTTACTTAAGTTTCTTGCCTAAAACAGCCACTGTCTTAAGAATATTAAAGGATTACTGGAATAATATTGGAGCGTCATTCATGGTAGTTTATTCTTCTTCTGGTTGAATGAAAAAGAAAAAAATGTTCTCACATTCGTATATACCTTTTCAAAGTAAGTTTGAACCGTTATAAAAGTAAAACTTATATTCTCATTCTTAGCTCTTTTTTGTATCAACATCTTTGCACTCTAACTTACCATTTTATTCAGTTTTTTGTATCATATGTGTGACTCTCAAAACTTTTAAGGAGTCATGATATATGACAACAGCATTTTTCATCGTAGCTGAGTGTATTTATGTATAGATGAATGTATGTCTACACTATTTTTTAAGTTTTTCATTCAAAACAAACTCACTTTCATATGCACAATGTGTCGCTCCAATTTTAACGTACACGTGCTAAGAGTAGTATATCGATTACACAAGGGCTCGTAATCGGGAAATTGTGGAGAGAGTTGAGAAACGAAAGTCGATCGAGGGCAACGACCCCTCCTATACCCTCAGTTTTCCTATATTTATTTAGTGGAAGCTTAATTTTCCGCAACATTTTTTCCTGTTCAATTACTTCAAGCACTACCAATTTCCGTTTTACGAAATAACCATCACTTCTTTAACCAATGACTGCTTTTTCACCAAAAGAAAACAACAAATAAAACTATGTCTTTCTTGTTTGAAATTTTTATGAGTTATTTTTAAATTTACGTGTTCATAATTTGTCAACACAAGCTGTTACTTTTCAAAATAATTTAATGAAAATTAGGAGCAGATGAAAGCACCTAACCGGAACCCTACAGTTTAGCTCTCTTTGAGGTACCCATTCTTTCCCGTTATTATACCACGTATGAATTGCACGAATGTTAACCGTCAACTGGAAGGGTCGACGATTCATTGCTTACCGGTCCTACCACCCCCACTATTGAACACGAAAGCGATACTATCAAACAGACTTCTATTTGCCAATAAGCTGTATTTTTAAAAATGAACGATAATGTTTTTCTATCTATATGTTATCTCTATAAAGTTCTTTACATAGATTTTTTTTGTTATTTAAACAATAGTTATTATATAAATATCAGAATTAAATACACAATTCTATTCAATGCTTGACTTTTTTGTATGCATTCTAATAATGCTAGGTATGGTTATCTATGGCATGATCAAAGTATCGTCTGTTTTGCATGTTTTATCCTGATTAATTTAATATCAATTAAATTTTTTCCAACAAAAGCTGTTCATCAATTGTTGAGTTCCCTTCGAATGATTTCTATCCCTAGATTATTTTTACAAACCTTAATATCTATCTTATAAAAACCCAATTATTTTCAATGGGAAATTTTTTTTCTATTCATTGTTGATTTAAATGTGCTTTGATTTCCTGTTATTCCCCAGGTATTGATTCATTTATAAAAGCTGTATGTTTGGAAATTGACAAAAGATTTGATAACTCCATTAGTTAACGATTTTTGATGTTTTTAAATCTTTTATAAAAAATGGTGAAAAATAAATTTCACGTCCAATTAGTAGAGCTACGAGTTCTTTTGAATATTTTCATTGTTTCATAAAAGTTTAAAATTTCACTATTGCAATACCGTTAATGCTAGTTTATTTTTACTGGAAACTGGAGTTGTTTTTATGATCAGAATGTTGAAATTATATAAAAACTTGTACTTTTTACTATTGGAAACTTGTGTAGTAATAAATAATTCAAACGCCGTATCTGTTTAACAGTTGAATGAATTTTTAAAAAAGAAGTTTTTTATTTTTTAATTTTTCTTTTGATTGGTAACGAGTATTACTATTCATTGAGATTCCACGTTTTCTATTCAAAGCTATGATTGAAAAGAGGTATTTAATAGGTGGAAAGACTCAAAATAAGGAAAAATGTAGTTAAATGACGTGTGATAGAAAAATGTTATTATAGACTGAATAGCATCAAAACTTTCTTTACCTTATCTAGTTCAAAACATTCACTAAAAGAAGAGAAAAAGCTATTTTTAATAAAAAAAAAGAATATTATCTAAATATGTAGTAGTAAAAAAAATATTTTTTATTGAAAGTAAATATTATGTAAAGCTTTATTGCTGGCATTAGTAATACTTTGATGAAAGAAAGAAAAACCTTTTAAATATTAAAATATTTCAATCGGATAATAAATAAATTGAAATGGAAAAATCTTCTTTGATAATTACTCAACGGAGATAGATATTTTTATCAAAACTAGTTTCTTTCTTCGGGAGCGTATTACGTAATGAAAATAAATAATTTCTACATCTTTACGAGCTCAATTCTACTGATTAACTCTGATGTATTCCCTTAAAAATTTAAAGATCACATTTTGAGAGATATAAATCGATCAATTGTATGTATAGAATGACCTAGCATGACCTCACGACGTACATATATTACTCGATGAACTCAAGCTGGAGCTCTGAAGAATGTATTTTCATTATAAAGAATTAATTTACGTTTATTAAATTCATTTGGATCTTTGTTTTGTAAAAGGTAACGTTAATACACGTTGTGAATCAACTTCACTAAGTATGATCAATTTTTAAAAAAATATACACCATATTTGTAAGATAAGCCGTGTGATCAAGTTTGAACTCATGCAGGGAAAGTCGTTTAGTCTAGAATACTTGTGCAAATAATGTTGATTCATCTACTATAAAAGCCACCTCCGTTAGTTAATCTGGGGTTTGGTGACTCAATGAAGGGGATGATAGTACACACAGGAAAAATATCCAAAAGTGTAATACAGTATTGATTAAATTACCCCGTACATTATTTGAGTATATATCACTTAAAATGCTCGTTAACAGGCAAAATAAACCTTCCAATTATCTTTGAATTGAAAAATTAGAAAGCAGTTTGAAGACAAAAAATAATAATCAAAAATAATCCTGAATTAGATGTTGTGTTTGATAATAAACTGTAGAATCGTAATTTCCTGGTTAAATGTTCTGTTAAAAAAAAACAATTGAAGTATTAAAAATAATTAGTGAATGATTTTTATTACTAAAAAGGAGATTATTTATGTAAGGATAAAATGAAAATTTATGTTGTGTATGTTTGTATGGTAAATGATGATAAATTACACACCTTATGATGAGAAGGATGTCCCGTGTGATGAGAAGAGCTATGATTACCGGTGGGTATTGCTGCCAGGTCCTCAATTGTGAGCTCAGCCAGAGCGTCGTTTCCACCACTGCAACCACCTAAAAGTCCAATACCATCACATCCAGGTGCTGATCCATCTCTTGAATTTGCCGATGGATGTCTGGCTTTCTGTACTCTCCTCGAGCTCACTAATTCCTTAACGCCCGAAAGCTCTCGCCTGGAGCCACAGCTTACATACCTAGAATAATAAAATAAAATATTGATATGTTCAAAATATTTTTAGTCACTTGGTCTATTCAATAAAAATGTAACAAAAGTTTTATCTCTCTATAAATCTAAATAAAAAATATATATTTGATTATTGTATTTCAATACCTTTCACTTTCATAGCCGCTTCAACATTTTTATTTCGGGAATAGAAAAAAATAGAATAATACGAAAAAAATAAAAAATTATTTTTTTAAATTTATTTCATTTTTATCACTATATTGAAAACTTTATTTGTCATTTAACGGTTTTATCACATTGTTAAGACTTTAAAGTAATTGTACGATTTCGGTGTCACTCATGTTCTACGATTAACTGTCACAAATAATTTAGCCAATTTACATTATGTATAACTGTAATGACCGGTTATTTTAAATGACGTGATTGTATTTTTGTCGTCGTACATATTTTTATGAACGAACAAAGCAACTTTACTAGTTCAATTCCCGATGTAATTGTTGGTGATTGCTGCCCGAAGGTTTTCACAATCGTATCACCCTGGATCCTGGAGCGCACTCACTGTTGACGCTACAAAACTACCCTTTACGTTTACCTAATAATACCACGAGATCGCAGCACCGAAACTGCCCATGGCATTGATCGCTTTCAACTACAATTCCCCAGCTGCTATTTGCTTCTGCTTTCGCAACCATGCAAGCATGCGCTAAGACGGTTAAAACTACGTACTGAAATCATCCCTCATGTACTTGAGTACAAATCCTCATCCTAGCGTCATCTGTTGAGAAATTCGATACAATCTACTTCAATTCTTGGATTTCGAATGATAATCAACGACCATCAATAATTTCATTAAATATATTCAATTAGGAATGATTGATTCAATATTTGTTCATTAGTTTTGGTGATAAATGTAATTGAATTGATGATAAATATATAACATGGAACTGGCAAATATAAACAGAGACAAGGATAAATTCAACTTCCTTTCTTATTCTACGTTCAGTTATCAGTTGTTAAATGCTGCCTATTCATTTTCCGCCTCTTTGACTGTTAGTCTGATAATGTAGTTTCCAAGTAAAATGTCAAAGAGAATTTACTAAAAAATTTACAAGACAATTGATGTCAGTGACTAAATAGAACAGTTTTTTTTTTCATGACAGTGATGCATGTCCCTTTAACAAGTCTGTGTTTTATCAGGATTAATTTAATTAATTTATAGATTAAAAAATAGAAAAATTTATTCAATACTTGATTAACTATTTTCATTTATTAAAATTTCAATGCAAATGGTTTTAATTAATGAAACTCATTAGAAAGTTAAAATTTATAAATAATGAGATTATATTATTGAAAGTATCTGATATTAATGATTTTAATGATCTCACAGATTAAATTTATTTATACTTTATCATATCAAAGAATGTCAATTCTTTTTGTTTTTAAGTTAATAATAAATATTATTGTTATACAAAATGTGACGATATTTAATATTCATTGAATAAAATAACCATGAATATTCATATTTTAAGTATATCCTTCCTTTCTTTATTTACTGTTTCATAGATAACTTTTTATTCTAGTGTTTTTTAATTTTTGCCTTATTATACTCCCTGAGAATGTTAAAAAGCAGAAGGGAAATATTTCATATAATGTATTCCCATAGGAAATTTTCAGCACGTTATAAATAAAATTTAAATATCGATTTATGAATAAAGCTAACACTTTTAAAATTCTGTGAATTGTCGATGGTTCAAAATATGCGTGGCATATTTTTGTATGGCCGCAGGGTCGGCGTTACAGGGTTACGTAGATCTGTATGATAGGAGGGACTAAAACAGTATATTGAATTTCCGTATAAAGCGAGTCGTGTTTCAGGCGGATAATATGCGCCATGATGTTTAGACCGATCAAGTTAGAAATAGCGAGGGGAGACTTCAGTGTGGTTTAAAACATTGTGAAAACAATGCTTCAGGGTTGACAATCAGAATTTCGTGAAGTGAAGAAAATCCAAAAAAACAAGAAGAATATTAAATACCATGTCAGTCACTTGACTAGTCAAAGTTGTTGAATAGCAAGAGTAGAAATGAAATAAACTCATTTTATGCACAGAATAAAGCTTAAGGGTAATCTTATAAGGATATTAAGTTACCTCTCGTGATCGTGGTTATAAGATGGATTTATTCTTTTGGAGTAAAGCGATGCACCTCCCTCCGACATGTATCCATCGCACAGATCAGATAGAGCTCGACTGGTAATATTCACCCCACTTCGCAGAATTTCTCCATCACTTAGATATCCAGAGGCGATGTCAATATCTGAATAATCCTGAGCTACATGATGATGCGATGAAGAATGAAGTATTGTATACTGTCTAGTTGTTGTCCGACTAGGAAGTGTTTGAAGACATCTTGCACCTGGTGTATATCCACGCAACAGAGGCTGCATTGGTTTCACAGTCATTTCTGTGTCATCATCAGCTATTGTACCAGGAACGCAATTGTCCGATAGCACCTAAGATACATATCATATAGAGTTAGTTTTTTTTTCTTCAATATCTTAAAGATATTTAAATTACATAAATAAAGATAAGAATCAAGAATATACTATTTTATCGATAGGTTGATAATAAATTATAAACAAGAACCAGGATAGAAATGATATTCAGCAAAAGATATCAACTTTAATTTGATCTTTATAAATCACTTTCAATTTTTATTCGTAAAAGTTGTCCATTTCTTAATTCTTGTTGTTGATTTGTTAAAAATTTAGCAATATTTAATATATTCTTGTCTCCGATTTTTACCATATACTTTATTTCGCTTATACACTTACCTTTTCTATCTCTTCGAAGGTGGTATCGATTTTCCTGTTTGGAATAGTCTTAATCTCACTTCCACTCTCACTACTAGGTCGGTAGATAACACTACTATCACTCGAGTTACTTTGACCCGTACTGTTAGAATTACTGTGAGAACTTTCCGACATAAAGTCCGATATGCTAGGCATTGGTGATACCATTGCTACAGTATTTGGATCAAGTTTTCGATGAAGTACTTCATTTTTAAGTTTCGCAGTGTTCGGTATATTAGATATATTTATTTCCTTTGGTGGTTTCGTTGTACCTTTGACAAGTGCCATTGGCTTTGGAATGCTAGAGCCTGGACTCATTCCTGGAGCGGTTTGACCCGGTGGATTTGGTCCAGGAAAAGGACTTACATTATTTATAGATGACTGATGTTTGTGCGGGCTCGTTGGTATTTCCTGAACATCTGAAGACTCTTTTTGGTTGATATGAATATTGTTATGAGTGGAAGACTCTTGATGATTAAGTGAATTGGATGTTTCACTCGATGACTTGTTCTCGTCACTGATATGATTATCGAAAGCTTTTGGGGCTTCTTCAATATTCTCAGAAATATTCTTTCTATTACTAAAATCAGTCTCTGACTCATCAACTTTCTGTGTGTCTACAATCTGCTTTTCTTCAGATAAATTAGTATTCGCTTGGTTCATACTAATGGTTTTATCCAAATTATTTTCAATCACTGGACTACCAAGTGTTGGATGTTTAATTAATCCATTCGAGCCTGGAAGACTTTTTGAGTTTATCAAATCTTTATTTAAACCATTAAGTGGTCCTTTTAGATTTTGTGCGAGAATCTTCGAGTCCGGTATTTTTACCGGAAGCTCCATCTTTGGCCTTTGAATTGATTTTTGTTCAGACTTATTTACAACCTTAGGATCTTGAAGTCCTTGCTTTTGATGTCCCGGTGGTATGAGAGCAGAATTAAATTTCTGAGGTGGAACAGGTTGTTTTGAGGTATCCAAGTTGTTCGGTCGTTTATCATTTGTAGTAATTTTTGTAGCTACATTAGCAATTTTAATATTTGATTTTTGATCCTCTGGAGTAGGAGAGTATCCTTTCTCTGTTGTTGTTTTCGTTCGAGAAATTTTAGTTAATACTTTTGATTGCTCTTTGCGAGCTGATTTTGGACTCGACTGTTTAGTTGATTTTGACTGAAGCTTTGATTTTAAAACTTTTGTTTTTGGCGATTCAACGAAATTTTTACTTTGATCACATAGCGAAGTTGAACTGTCAGAATGCTCTGAGCGTGCTGATGAAAAGCCAGATGAGCTTGACGTGCGTTTTGATACAGCCGATGATGTTTTTCCTCTATCCTGATTCTTATCTTTATTGTTGAATAGTTTGAATTTATCCAGAACTGAGTTCTTATTTTGCTGAGCAGAAGGTGGAGGTGAAGAGTATGGTGATGGTTGTGGAGCACGGAGACTTCCGCTTGGACGACCGACTGTTGATGCCCTTGGACTAAAAAAAGAATATTAGAGAAAAAATGTATTAATAACTTGAATTCGTATGAAAATAAATATTAGGGAAAAATAATTTTCAAATGACTAATACCTCGGGGTTGTAGCTGTAGGCTGTCTACCAGTTGAATTCTGTGTTCTGGGTTGAGGAATGAAAGATAATCCGCTTTGTAGTGTTTGTTGTTGACTGGGACTAGTACTTCTGGAACTGCTCGCACTTGCTATACCACCGTTTCCGTGTTTCAGACCTGTAAAAACAATAACCAATAATTATTCATGATATAACACGTAATAAAACTAAGTAAAACTAGTTGTAATTTATGTGTAGGCGCTTGCTAGCCGGAATATACATTAAAATTCTCTATAAAAAGGTTTATGAGACACTGAATAGCTAAAATCTCTTAACTAGTGATTATCAAAACTAAAAAAGAAAATCCACTGAGTATTTTGTATCAATTTCTATATCGTAACTTTGTTATTATACAGGATATAAACTATTAAAAGTAAGATAGGGACATACACTACTATCAACTCGGTGTTAAATGCCTTTACTGACTGAGGCGTCATTGGCAGTCCTGATTCGTCGTCGTGACCAGCTTACAACACGTTCAGAACCTTTCCCACTCTTTCTTTAATACCCTCTCTTTCTGTTTTTGCTCTTTCACTTCGTTCTATCCGTCGTTTTTCGTTCTCGTTTATTGCGAGGACATTAGCGAACGTTTACGGCCACCGTTATCGCGCATAAGTGCCCCGTGGTACACCAAGTAGTAACTTAAAGAGCTAGGGAGCTGTAAGAATGTGCGTCTGTACGTGTGAGCAAATGCTTGGAGGGATTGACAGGCCAAGGAGATATAGGTCCAGTGGCTGTCAAATTATCCCACACTCTAAGAATAAATGAGATTGAATACTAAGAAATACGACAATCTATGAACTTATCTGGTAATAATAAGTATATAATTAAAGTAGTTGGAAGGCCAATTGATAAAATTGTTACTGCATTCTTGTGATTTTTAGTTTGCATTGCGAAGTGTGAATATTATTAACAACATTTTATTTACTTGCTCTATTTTTATTACTGGTACTTTATGAAGTAGTAGATTATTTAAGTTGTAATTCAACCACTTCTACCACATAAATGCTCTCGTTTTTCTGCTTCATTCAGACGTCATTAACTCAATTGCTGTAATAGTAATTGAACAGGCCTAGAAACGATTCATTATTCGAATAATAAATCATTAAGGAATATTCTTAAGCTTTGCTATTATTTTTAAAGGGTCGTTCTGGTCAAATGTATGAAAGAAGAAGTTATTTTTAGCTATTTTTGATAGCTAAATTATTTCATGTGCTTTTTAGTATTTTTTTGTGAAATAGTTGGTTTTGTAAGCAATTTGAACAAGTAGTTTCTTTATTTTAGTTAATTAGAGGAAAAAATAGAGCTATTTCTAATCTGTAATGATACTGCTATCACAGGAATTAGAACGAAACGTTTTTATCGCAAATAAGAGGAATATCTTGATTTGAAGATGATCATAAAAAAGAGGTTCTTTGGAAATAGTTTTTTTTTGCTAAAAATTATCTAATTGTTTGAATTAACCATCCAATTATAATCTAGAAAATAAACATTATTATAAAAAAATATTTTAATTGTTGAAATTTCAATCAAAATTATAATAATTTAATTTTAAAAAATAAATAGCAACACAATATGATTATAAATAACTATTTATTATTATCAATTAAAAATTTTTCTTAACTTTAATTTGGTACCTGACACTGAATTAATCCATTAGATGAATTACAATTAGATATCTTTATTTTATTATTGATGTCTTAATAAACTTCAGCATTACTTTAAATAATTATTTTCAATTACAGTTTTTTATTTAGATTCAAGTAAATTTAATCAGAGTTTATTGATAATTTCTGTGTTAGTATTTTCATTCTTTTTAGTGAATATTTTTTTGTAGATTTAAGCTAAAATTCAAGAAGTTGATTACTCTAGTGGATTAAAAGAAGAATTCTCTCCGTTTTTAGTAAATATTCTAAAGATAAAAAAATATCAAACAGCTCAAGAGATGATTGACTAAGATATAAGATCTATTAAAAGCAGGATCTAAAATCGTGACTTGTCTAGCTTAGCTCGTAATTCTTGAGATAATACAGAAGACAAGAACCAAGAGGAAGTATTAAAAGTTGGTGGAAAAGCAACTTGAGATAATTGTATGATAATCATTCATTATTTGACGACAGCAAGCGACTGTGATGTAAATTTACTATGATGAATGATAAGGTTTTTCAGTATATTTTAAAAAACACTAATGTTGGTAATAATCTATTGATTCCATCAAGTACGGTTTCATCCATCTCTCAAACAAATGTTTCTTATAAAACATTCATAGACTGATTTATTACTAAGTATCTCTGTAGTACCCTCTTATTTTATCCTATTTTGAGTGAATAAAAAATCTAGTCCATCAGACTCCAACCCCTGTGGCAATTAATTGTCAAACAGTGATTAACTATAATGATCGTTACGAATCCATTGAATTATTATCCAAGATTCCAAGAGCAAAATGAATATTGCATAAAGATTAACTACATAAAAAATAAAATAACAAGTAAATGCTTTCAAAATTCGTAATAACCACTTATGTTGTTGGTAATCAATAAATCTTAATATTTTTCACTCTTTTATCTTTTTTATATCGAGAGTTCATGCACGTGTGGATGTCGATTCGAATTAGCGATTTTGACAGGAAGGAAAGGAGCTCCCTAAACTGTACTGCTGGGACAAAGAATCTCCCTAGGTTTTTTCATCCCTCTGGGGATAATACGCAAGAGTATCGCACGATCCAGCTGATTCATATTTCTCTGTGATCCGATTTTTCTTACTTTTCACGTTATAAAATAATAATTGAATTCCTCATGGAGTCACCTAATCGTCTTAGATTTAATTTTTTATGTTTATGATCATATCTCAATAAAAATTGAATTTATAATGAAATAAATTAAATCAATTATTTTTATAAAATGCTTATGATAGTTGCATTGTTTATTTATTTTTTCAAATTTATTGGTTTTATTTAGAATTGAGTGTTGGATTATTATTAGAATTCTTAAAATAGAAATTCGTCTATTTTAGAGTTTGATTTCGATTTATGACACTCTTAAAATATATATTCGGAGATATTTGAAGAAACGATAGAATTTATATGGTTTTCCTTACATTCGTTAAAATTGTTGGCAGTATGTTGGAGCACTTGAAGAAGTATTTAAAGGAGAGAAAATCTAGTTTCTACCCATCATAATATCATTTAATATGATATATTATGTTAATTATACTAACGATTTCCTGTTAATTATTTTTTATCACCATTCTTTTTTACCTTTTATATTTTTTTGAATAATTTTAAGGATCTTTACTCATTAAATTCTGAAAGTTGAATTTATTTAGTTAATAAAAAAATATGACGATACATTTTTTGAATCGTAAAATTGTTATTTTAGTTTCTTTGTTTTTTTTAAATGCAAGAGATATTTTTTTTATTATTACTTACTTGAAAGTAATTGAGACATAAACCTGAAAATACGATTTCAACTCCAAATCAGGATAATTCGAAAGAAGAATAATCCTAAGACGTCTTTCTGAAAACGATTTTGAAGCTCTAACTCTAAGCTTTCCATTCAATCAAAAATACTAAAGCTATCATTTTTTTGCAATAAAAAGAGACATAATATTTTCGACAAAATATTCATTTTTTTACGATGATTAACAAAAATAAAGTACAAACGATCAATAAAAAAATGTAATAAAAAGGAATAATTCAAGAAAGAAAGGTAAAGTGTTAGAAGTTCTTTTTCAAAGTACAGGTATTACTGTTTATATCAAAGCTAGAGTTATTTGAATTTTAATCATTTTCCCCAAGGAAAAAAATTATCCCTCAATTCTTTTAATGAGTGTGTTTCTTGAACAACCCTCATATTGCTGTTACCTTTAATAATATACTGTTTCTCTTTTGAAATTTTAATTAATGAAAACTACCGCAAACGAGTGAATTTTTTACTTATTTTCATTCACAAAGATTAATTTCAAGGATGATAAAAATATAATTGTAATTCATAATTATGCAAAATAATTTTAATTAACTTCTTTATCTATTTAATATTTTTTTCTAAAAATTTTAGCTGAATATTTTATTTGATGAATATTTCAAAATACCCTACTATAATTATGAACATTAAATAAATGATAAACTTGAGTATTTTTTTCAAATTCATTAATATAATAAAAAATGAAATATTGATAATTTATTTTTTAGACCGTAAATGTCATTTGTATTATTCTTTAATAATTGTCTTGAAAATGTTTTTTTCGTTGAAATAAAATAGCTTTATAAAGAAAGCTTTCATTCAAATGTGATCCTATTTTTATCAAAGTTTCAGAGTATAAATTTCTGTTGACATTATTGATATGACAAAGATATAAAGCTTATGTCATACTTAGTGAAGGAACTTGATAATAATAATCAGAGGCAAAGTTTTTTCGTGTTTTTACCTGACGTCTAACAGTGAAATACTGTTGTTCCTCATTTAAAACGGCTGGTTTTATCGAGACTATGCAAATAAAATTTTTAAAGTCAAGGCAACGAATGTTTCTTTTAAATCAAATCGAATTATCAACACAAATGATCAAAGAACATGATGAAAAGTTTTATTTTAATCTCACTACGAAAGAAAAATACTACGTAAGTTTTAAAACTTAATCTTTACAAATTTTTGTGCAACAAATGCTTTCAACTCAAACACTTCTACAGGTTATTCACAAAGGGTGGCCAACTGTATTATAGAAAAAGTTATAAGAGGAGGAGTTTACGTCGAAAACAGCTGCTGTTCTTCGAGAGTCAAATAAATGAACAGACACTTTTACTTGTCTCCCTTATCTTTTTCTCAATTAATACCTTGATATTTATAACACGAGATATTTTTTATGTTGCACGCAAGTGTCTGAAAAATTATGTGTGATATTGGTTTAGCTTATTATCTGATGGACTAGAATTATCGATTAATAAATATAGAACTAACCAGTAACAATAGAAATTACTTATGGTTAATCACTATAATCAGAGCTTTTCGTTCTTGTTAGTCAACTGAACATGAAAGTTATTTTTTTTTAACAATTTAAAAAGAAAAAAAAAAGAAAAATATTCAGCCATTATTTGCATGGTATAAAGGTACATAACATGCAAAT